TGCTTGAAGTATCAGCTTTTGAATGTATTTTCCCAATTAATGTTTCCTTTCATTCTATTAGTTGCACTCACATGCACATACGGCCATACTGTAGTCTGTTCACCGGGCAGCTGAAGCTCCTGTGTCCTGGCCTTGTAACTCAGAAGATTTGTTGTTGCTGCATTGATTCTATTTTCAAATAATTTTATTTATGTAATTCTTATGAAACTATCGTCTGTCAAGTGGTCAAGGTGCCCAGAAATGAATCCAAAATCCGAAAAAATGTAAAATCTTGGCTTAAGACTTTGACTCTCTAACTGCGGCGACTCCAGTGATGTTGTGCATGCAGTGATGTTGCATTCTCATTAATTTTGGTCAACTTATTTCCCTAATAATATTTGATGTTGCAGAGCAAGTGATCACGCCGGAGATGTTCGCTGAGGTGCTGTGCGACGACCTCAACCTCAGCCCCGTGATGTTCGTGGCCGCCATCAGCGCCGCCATCAGGCAGCAGCTCGAGCAGCTCCCCCAGCGCGACCTGGTGGCCGAGCACTCAGACTCCCGGGTCGTGGTTAAGGTGAGGGGGGGGGTTGTGGTGAACATAGGGGCTGTCTCTTATACACATCTAGATGTGTATAAGAGACAGGGTTGACGGTACCACTTAAGGATTTTTGGGTGAACATTTATTGATAAGTCTATTCATTAGCTTTGTAAAGTTTGTATGGAGCAAGGTAATGAGTTAAATATTGACCATTTAACTGGCTTCAATATACAAAAACACTTCAGGAATGCAGATCTTCTAAACATTGAAGAGTCACTCAACAGATAGGTAGCTCATAGCACAGTGCACAGTACTATCAATAGATCTACTNCTATTATATTATTATTGCCATAATAATCGAGCCGGGGCAATGACGGACTAACTTGCTAGTCTGATATACAATACAATGCACATGCTGGAAAATGCATGGGTCATATTGTCCAAAAAAATGACATATTTTTAGTTCATGTAGCCTTGATAACTTTTGCCGGGGTAGACTGGGTCAGGATGGCTCACCCAGCCCTGGACAAGAAGTGTATCGACATTTATGCTTAGTTTCTAAATTTTTCTGAGTGTAGAATATTATTTGGCTCCCCCAGCCTAGTATAATATGAAATAATATCTAATATATTCATTATATAATATACAGTAATTTAAAATATAATAATATATACCCAGCCTTTAACTATAAGTCAAATGTGAATTATATAATGTACTGTAATTTAAAATATAATATATACCCAGCCTTTAACTATACCTAAGTCAAGTGTGAATTATATAATGTAAAGTAATATAGAATATAATAATATATAACCAGCCTTTAACTATAAGTCAAGTGTGAATTATATAATGTAAAGTAATTAAAAATATAATAATATTCATTTGACATGAGCAGCGAGTCGCCGCTGCCGGTGGTGGAGGTGCCGTTCAGGTCGGCTGGTGAGGCGGACGCCTGGTGCCCCTTCCTGGAGACTCTCACCGACGCTGAGATGGAGAAGAAGATACGCGACCAGGACCGTAATACCAGGTATACTGGTGTGATGGTGTGGTGTGGTGTGGTGTGGTGAGAAGATACGCGACCAGGACCGTAATACCAGGTATACTGGTGTGATGTGGTGTGGTGAGAAGATTAGCGACCAGGACCGTAATACCAGGTATACTGGAGTGGTGTGGTGGTGTGGTGTGGTGCGGTGGTTGTGGTGCCTGGTTGCTACTATAACACAGTAGTAGCGGCCAATGAGATGAGAGGAGTTAGTCGTGGGTTCGAGCCTAGGGAAGCTCAGTTCATTTCTTGGTGGGGCGAAGCTTGGTAGCCATCAAAGGTGATGCTGTCAGCATGGCCTTGGTTGGTGACCCTATACGAACTATGTATACCTGTTATCTGGTGGAACTCATGATGCGGTGGTGCCTGGTGTGGTGGTGTAATGGTACCTTATTTGGTGGTGCTTGGCTATATCAGTAAAATATTGTGTATTTGAAGACTTGCACTGTGAATATATATATCGGTGGTTGGGGCGCTCCTATAGACTATAAATAATATACTTATCATTTAGTATACAATATATTATTGATATGATCAGATTATGTCCGGATATCATATATGGAATACTTATCATGTGACATTACCGGACACGCAATTTTTTTCAATGGTAAAATTATGAGACACAGAATATAGAAAACGTGTTTATTTAAAAAATGTGTACCTATGTGGTTGTGACTTGAGAAGTGTTTCTTTTAGAAATTTTAGGTTCGATAGCAATCTAGTCTTGCATTTTTTCAGGCGGATGCGTCGTTTTGCCAACACCACACCAGGCTGGTGATTGGTGCAGCCCTCCTCCACGTCGCCACATCTCATCACCTCTACATCACGCCATCTTCATGTATCACCACACTCTTGTGTCGCCACATGGTGGCGTGTGCGTCTACATTTTTTTTCTTTCATTTGCCCCGTCATCTTGTCGCCACATTTTCTGTATATTCCGTGTTTAGGAATGTTTTTCATACTGCATCCCTTTCTAGGGACATCTCTTCTCCTGTATTCCTTCCTCGGACATCCCGTCTCCTGTAACTCTTCCTAGGGACTTCCTCCCCACTGTATCCCTTCCAAGGGACATCTCTCCTACTGTATCTCTTCCAAGGGACATCTCTCCTACTGTATCTCTTCCAAGGGACATCCCTCCTACTGTATTCTTTCCAAGGGACATCTCTCCTACTGTATCCCTTCCAAGGGACATCTCTCCTACTATATCTCTTCCAAGGGACATCTCTCCTACTGTATCTCTTCCAAGGGACATTCCTCCTACTGTATCCCTTCCTAGGTGCATTCGTCCTACTGTATCCCTTCCTAGGGACATCCCTCCTACTGTATCCCTTCCTAGGGACATCTCTCCTACTGTATCCCTTCCAAGGGACATCCCTCCTACTGTATCCCTTCCTAGGAGAATATAGGGATTTGGTAGGTTTCCATTCTAAAGGCTTTTTAATATATATGGCAACATTTTGTGACGTTTCATCGTTGCTGACGCGTAGTGAAGTAAGTGTTTTGAGAGTCATGTGAAGGCAACAGAACTTGCGTAACGCATACGTTTTTTTTTTTTGTAGTTTTTCATTTCTCAATGCGTCCTTAATGTGTCGGAATATACCGCGTTTACCCTAATGCAGTCTGACTGCTCACTGCTGACTGCTCTAATGTGACCGCAACTACGTAATCGTAAACTTGATGTTTACATTTTTTTTGGCGGGAACTCATCACAACAGATTTCCGGACAAGCTTCACTGCATCCTGATCCATCCAACATACCGGAAACGTTACTTTTTTTAAATAGTTGGCCGAAGACTGACAAATATATTAAATGCAAGAATTTCAATCTAAATGTGCCAGCAAGATCTTCTGAAGGCAAAAATTTTGCTACTGAAGAGTGAAGCGTCACCAAAGATATTGCAATATTCATATTGCAATATTCATGCAGTTTGTGACGTTTCATTGTTGCTGGCGCGTAGTGCGGTGTTTTGAGAGTGACGTAAACTCTTTGTAAAGCATACGGTGTTTTGAGAGGGACATGAAGCCCACACTCAGGATTATGTATGTTTTCAGGGAATTTTCTCGCGCATTTTGACTTTTTTCAAGCCATTGCTGTGCACAGTTGGTGCAACTTCTGGCCATCCCCGCTTGCACGCGTAATCGTCGGCGCAGCGAGCGTAATCGGCGCAGCACGCGCAAGCGTCGGCGCATCGAGCATTCTGCGCGCAAATACATTTTGTCAAGGGACAAGAGACAGAAAACATATAATACTTAATATGCATTTAATTATCCATCAATAATCTATGATTTTCCTCGATATGGAAATTTTGTGAAAGTAAAAATCTAGAAATTCATTTTCAAAGAAATTTTCTACAAATTTCTTATACGAACTGACGAACATCGTTTGTTTACCTTCCGTAGACCGTCCGGACGTGAGGCAATATTCTGTCTGGACGTGAGGCAAGTGATGAATAACCAAGTCCTCAGAAATTGGACATATGAAGTAAACATATATTAGTGCTAAATGACAGATTTTGCTCGTTCTATATATACTATTATTGCGCTGATAGGGTTATTAGAGATTTTATGGTTAACAAAAGGAGTCAGAAATAATTTCATCATTGTAATTAATGGAAAATAGTTTTGAGTGAAATGAAGGCGATATTAAAAAGAATTGTCATGCGCTTGACATCACCATTAGGCCATAATGAATATGTGAATCAAGTTTCATCAAGCTACATTCAGTACTTTGGGAGATATTCCAGGTGTAGAGTCCGGCCGCGAGACCGGCCGTAAATTTGTCTGAGACGTACGAGTCTCTTGAAGCTATTCATATTTTATTAATGTTTGTTGTTAGTCTATATAATTAACCTTCAAAGTTGCAAAAAATGAGAACTGACCATTTAAAAAAAAGTGAGGGGCCTGTATTTTTGTTTGCAATGGGCTTGCACCGCACAAACCCATTTCTCCAGCCGGGAGGATGTCGGGAACGCAACGTATTCCTGACATTGACATTCGGGTTTTTACTATTTACCAAAGTCAGTCCTTCGTTAGAAGGAGCCAATCTCAAGCCATGTGGAGTGTCGCCTTCTACTATTCAGTTTTGTAATTAATTTCTAACCGAATTGTGATCTATGAATAATTATTCATAACATTGCCGACTCTTAGAACCTGAGTTGACATGTTAGAAATCTAGTCGACGTGATGCAGATATTTGTTCGTGTGTGATAGCGTTGCCGCACATTAATCTTTAAACAACTTTAGGAGCACGGTGCAGGCTGGCGCACCGTGCACTTTTTTACCGGCATATTACGGCACACGGCGCAAATTGATGCAATGCTAATAAAAATTCCTGCGCACCTGGCACATCTTCCTGACCGTGGCATAAAGTATAAGTGACATTGCGCACATGGTGATTTTTTTATAGCCATTCATTTTTTGCTACGTCCTTAATGTGTCGGAATAGAATATAGCGCGTTTACCCTCTGACTTCTTCTCAAATTATTAAACACAGCCTTTCAATTTTTCAAAATCACATATTTGGATCAAAATACTGGTCTAGGCGCCTACATGGATCAAAAGTAATATATGAAACATCTTTTTTAGAATTCTATCCTGTTTGAGGGTGTGTACCAGTAATGGAAAACCTGGAAAGTCATGGAATTTAATTTTTCATTTGCAGGCCTGGAAAGTCATGGGATTTCATTTCAGGTTATGGAAAGTCATGGAATTTATCAAATGAATGAAGAAAAGAAAGGAAGTGTTTTCTGTGCTGCGTGTGTTAACCCAATAATACCAAGCGGCTCCATTATGAACCATCAGAGAAAAATCGATTCATAATAAAATTGTAAGATCAAATAAATATACAATTGGATGCATAGGTTTGATACACATCTTGTACCATCAAACGGGGTAAATAGGGACGGGCGGGGTAAATCGGGATGTGCGTCCCACATTTCGTAGAAATGTTGTAGCAGCTAAACTAATCAAAATATTGCAAAACTAAAAATAGTGGCATAAACTTCAATATTTTTACTATCTATTGTGTACCGTATAAAGGTAGTCAAGAAATCAAACATTTATTACCTCTAAAAAATTGCTGAAAAAAAGTGTGAAAAGTGGGATTTTGGAAAAGTACCTCTGCTAAGGTCTGGAGCAGAAATCAATGTTTTTTTTTTATTTTCTCATTATTTTTTTTTATTTGATTTTTTCAGCTTTTTTGTCTTTTTGAAGTGTTATTTTTTATGTTGCAATTAGCCTACTAACAATAACAGTAGTTATATGGATCATAATTGATGGTTAAAAAGGGCACTTATTGCCTACAATAATGGCCAACAGGCCAAGGTGGTGTTTACCGTCAACCGGGGCTACTCGGGACGGTTTTGAGCGTTTTTTGTTAATAACTTCTTACGATGAAACATTTCATAAACAAGTTTAGGCTCATTTTATAGCTCTTTGCGAGGGCTATCGAATGGCATCTTCAAAAAAATTCCATATGCTATTCGTA